CCACTGAATTGTCAGTGCACAGGGTATAAACAATTGCCGTGTAAAGCATTTTATACACGGCTTATACTGCCTGCTGACATTTTTAATGAGTGAGATTTGAACATATGTAGGATTTGATAGGTAATTAGGGGTGGATTAAAGGTAATTATTATTGCATAGCTGAAAATCCCATGTGGCAAATTGACTCTTGAGCAGATTTTATCACGTGTCAAATTTGTGCATTTCCCGATTTTCACGAGTCAAAACCCGGATCCCTGTGTCAATCGAGAGCCCTGATTTATCTTTAAATCTCAATATGACACAATAGAAGGTAGTTGTTAAAAAATAAAGTAAATAACTTTTTGCTGATCATTAGAGAACACAAAATACTTTTTGGAAGTTGTTAATATCCAAAACTTTTTTCTTAAGACAGTACATGTGACATCAAAACATGACTAAAATATTTCTGAATCAGTCTGAGATGACTTTGAAAGCAGACATGCAATTATGACCGGGTTTAGACTGTTCCTAACCATTGGTAGATGGCAACAACATTTAGTTGATATGCAAATTAGGCTATCCCAAACATTCATTCTGACGATTTTACTTTGTGCATGTACCCCCTGCTTACAATTTTTATGTGTGCATCTAGAATTTTGTGCGTGAATTATGCACTGTAGTGCGTGAATGGGCATACTGTTGTACATGTATGACATCGCTTTGAGATATTTTTGCTTCAGGGCAAAGGTATGTCATATATATCGAAATTGTTCAAAAAGGCAAAGCAAGTTCCGCAAGAAAATCTGACTGAATGAAAAAACACAAACTAGCGTATAGAGACATATATTCTGACCTATTCATGAGCACAAGTAAAAGATAAATACCTTTTAAAAGCATAAAATTTGAATTTCTTATATAAATTAGCTGGGGAACTGCAAACAGAAAAATATGCAAAAGATTATTAAATTTAAGAAAATATACTCAGAAATAAATTGAAAAAACATATTTTTAGACAGTGCTGTTCCTAGTGCGATTTGGGTGAAAGCGTTCCAACGCTTTTATATTTTGCAGCGATATTTCTCACTTAATTGGGAAGAGGCCTTAGCCACTTGATATTGGGAAAAATTATCACTAAAATTGCTAATTTGGGAAGTAAAAAAGCAGGTTTAAGTTCAGATTTTTGGGGAAATTTAAATTGGGAAGAGGCCTTTTATCAGAGTCTGTTATATAGGTAGGAAACTCACTCAGTTTGGATCATTTTTCACAATTAAAATAATTAGTCCCCTACCACTTTAACCGGAGGGGACTTCTGGTTTACCCTCCGTCTGTCCTTCTGTCTGTCAGTCTGTCCCCAAAACTGGATCCCGCAATAACGCAAAAAGAACTGAAAATATTTTAATGAAATATTTTATGTTGAAAATTCTGGTTGCTATGGCAACAAATACATGTAGACTGAATTTCAAGATTTCTGATTAAAATTTTTAAGCTTTTTCACTATAAGTTCTTTATTTCTTAAGGTGTTTACTTCAAACTTTAAATATACGTTTCTGGTCATCAACCACATCATATGTAACAAATATACTTAAAAAAGAGAAAGGTTGAAACATTAGTTATTCTTATTCATCCTGAGAAAATTGGACCTTTTGATTATCTGTTGTATAAACATAATTTCCTTACTAGGCAGGGAAACTTAACACATTACTGTGATATAGACAAACTAAGAACTCAAAAGATTTAAGTTCTTTCATGTCATTCATTCACTGGTAAATTGAATGGCCAATGGCCCATCAGAATGTTGCTGGGGTTCTAACCGGAAGGGGACTTATGGATTGCTTGCAATACCATGATAATTGCTTGTTATTCAAGGAAAGCGGAGTGATCAAATGATCTGTAATTTTGCACACAAGTTATTGGTCTATTCTACTTACATCAAATAAAATATTAATCTCGAAATATTATTTCCAGTCCAGTCATGTCAAAAAAAAAACTTCAGTGGAGTCCCTTTAATGTTTACATCAGAGAAAAAAAATGGTTGCTATGGTAACTGAAATTGTAAAAAGAAAAAATATAATTCATATTGTAGCATTTTTTTCTCTTCAGGAGTGGCTTATATACTAACAGAAGAGGCTGGTGTTACTGATGTCCATGTCATTCAAGTAAGTAACTCCCATTATATCAAGTCAGGGCTTTTTTCCCTTCTATATAATGGCCCCCCTTCACAATTCAAAATTACACATTTTTTTCACAAAGCAAAAAAGAAGATTAACAATTTCAAAAGAGATTTCAAGAAATATTGGGACTTTGTCTTCAAAATAAATTGTTTACCTTTCGGTAAAACTTGATTTACGCCAATTGCAATAACACAGAAATAGGTTTAATCAAGTTAAATTGTTTTTTCGCATGTTAACTGAGTTTATGTACCGACTTGAAGCAGATTTTACACAGGTCAGAAATTATGATCAACTGTTTCCAGTTTCAAAGTGTCCTGAGTGCCAAGTAATATGTCTTTTTTTTCACAATTTTATAATATATCACACTTTTTTTCGCAAAATGAAAACCTAAGCCCCTTCACAATTTTGACAAAAATATGTCCTGCAAGTTAATACAGGGGCTTGGAGATCCTAATGCCAGACTTGTCCGACCCAGGACTTTATGCCAACAGAGAAGCAGATTTTTCCTTAGAACCAAGATAATTTAGCATTTAATAAAATATTCATTATTAGCATAGTTTGATACAAGTTTATGACACCTCTTAATTGTTTTGTAGTAAATGGCTATAACAGGCACTTACATGAGGATCTGATGACAAGTTTTGTAAACTGTTTCTGAAAGGCCCATTGTGCTCAATATGTAAATATTTCAAAGCATTTTTCCAGATGCATGCCATTTTTAATGAAAATTTTGAAAATGTATATTAATTTAAACTATTGTGAAGTGAATTCCCATAGATTATCAGTATACTGTATACTGTTTTGTATTTTATTATTTTTATTTTAAGGCTGCCTTGCTACATGATACTGTTGAGGATACAGACACTTCTTTCGAAGAACTGGAGGAACATTTTGGACCAGAAGTTACAGGTATGTGTGTGTTCATTTAGATTTTAACAGTTGTATGGTTGTAGTTTTGGTAAAATGGTATAAATTAAAGGAACTCCACCGAGGTCCAATAGCCTAAAATAATAAATTCTGAAATTCTTTCTGATATCAACTGGTACATTTAAATTTGAAACCAAGCAATAGAATGATAATATATAGATATACAAGGTATAAAATTGATAACCAATTTTTATGCGATTTTGGCTGATTTGAGTGAAAAACCTTTCACTGGTTTTCGTTTTTTGGGCTAATTTGCACAATAAAATTGATTATTTCTGGGAAAGAAAGTGAGAATTTTAAATTATCGGAAATTTTGTACATGAGTTATTCATTTAGACATACATCATTCTAGTTATACAAAAATCTTGAAAATATATTTTCAGTCCTTTCAATTTTTAATCTATATAGTGTATTATGAATACCCCCCCCCCCCCCAACCCCTTGTTTACAGCTATAGAACTCTTTCTTACACATGTAACACATCAGTATAAATTACATTTAAAAATGCTTAAAACACTTAAAACCATAACATTGATAAGTTTTACAGGGTATATGATACCCAGGGTATGCACAGATAGCTAGCTGCTTTTAAACACAGGCATAATTAAATTAATGACATTATGTATTATCATATTAAAAATTAGATGGATATGATAATTCAGGGTTTCAAATAATTCTTTTCTATGTTTGGTACAGGGGAGATTAATCAAACCATAACTGTTTCACCTTTCAAATACAGTTCCTTCCCTTGATGATATTTTGTTTCTATACAATTTCTTTTTTCTAGGGAATTTGAAATTTACAAATGGTTATGATAGATTGATTATAATGGTATAAAAAATTTCCAATTTTAAAGTGTAGAGCACTAAATGAATCTACTCAACATTAACTGAATACAAATGTTACTGATGTGATTGTTTTGCCTCTTATACTCATCAAAACCATTGAACTTCATGTATCAATCACATGGTTTTATTTCATCTATTTGTTGTGGCTTACCTTTTGTTAGTCCTGTTATTATGTTTTGGAGGTTATTCAAGATAAACTTTAATTTAAATTCCTCAATAACCAGGTTACTAACTTTAAGTCAGGTGGCGGCAACAAATTCTACCTGTCTTCACTTAATCAAGAGCAATTCTGCTTTGAAATATTAAAATGATTAAACCAGAAATATTCAAAATTCAGGTCTGGAAATGGAGGTAACTTTAACTTTTATACTTTCAGGTCTAGTAAAGGAGGTTACTGATAATAAATCGTTACCAAGTCCTCTACGTAAACTCGAACAGATCAAGCATGCTCCTAATACGAGTCCGAAAGCAAAGCTCGTGAAACTAGCTGACAAACTGTATAACCTTCGAGATCTAAATCGTGCAACACCTGAAGGCTGGACCGAGGAACGTGTGCACAAATATTTCGAATGGGCGTCAAAGGTGGTGGCAGGCCTTAGGGGAACAAATGAAATCATGGAGAAAGAACTTGACAAATTATTTAAGGAAAGGAATGTTCTATAATGGAACATTATATTTGGGCAGCTGCATTTTACGCTGCTCCTGATGAAACTAAAAGTGATTGACCTTTGCCGGCAGGAGGGAGCCTCAGGCTAGTCTGCAGATTAACGTCACATGACCTTGCTCGATACTGTTAGTTTTTTTATCTGCTCAAATTCAAATTTTTTATTTTGATATCCCCAAAAAATTAATGGACTGACCCATATAAATGGAAGATGGAAAAGTCCATCTACGAAATTCAACTGATTATGGGGTAGGATTTTGTGTTTTGATTAAACTTATTTTCTGTGATACTATTTTACGAAATTGTTGCGATATTATTTCTCATATTTTCTCATGTATTGCCAGTCACTAAATTTCCATATAATTAGCCGCAAAAATATACTGATAATGATTATTTTACATTTTTAAATGTCATTGTCAAATTATTGGTTATGTTTGTAACCCTTTTCGGAAAAGATCCTTAAATTGGGAAAAATTATGTGACATTTTTTTTTTAAATTTGAGAAATTTTTTAAATGTTAAAAAACTGCCTTTTAGATAATTTTTAAATTGTATTCAAGTGTACAATCATATTGTCGGTCACTTCGATCTATTACATCAGTCAAAACAGATCATTTGTTGTCAGAAATTAAAAATGTTGATTTTTTTAGGCTGCTGTTAGATTTCTTTCTTCTAAATTTGGGGGAAAAAATTCCAAGTTATTTTGTATTGACAATAGAGACCTTACTCTGGCTTCAGGTAGAAAATGCCAGTATTTTTTGTTTCCCACCTGAACAAGTAGAAAATTTAATTTTTTGCAGATGTTATATATTTTTAGCTCGACTATTCGATAAGAATAAGTAGAGCTATTGTAGTCACCCGAGCGTCGGCGTAACCACTTATGTTAAAGTTTTTGTAATAGTTCAAATATTTCAAAGTCCATCGACATATGGCTTTGAAACTTTGCACACTTGTTCACCATCATGACCCCAACCTGTAGACATGAGGAGATAACTCTATCAAGCATTTTGACAGAATTATGCCCCTTTTTGACTTAGAATTTACGTTAAAGTTTTTGTAATACCTCAAATATTTTCAAAGTCCATTGACATATGGCATTAAAACTTTGCACACTTGTTCACCATCATGACCCTAACCTGTAGACAGGAGGAGGTTACTCTATCAAGCATTTTGACAGAATTATGCCCCTTTTTCGACTTAGAATTTACGTTAAAGTTTTTGTAATAGTTCAAATATTTTCAAAGTCCATTGACATATGGCATTTAAACTTTGCACACTTGTTCACCATCATGACCCCAACCTGTAAACAGGAGGAGGTAACTGTATCAAGCATTTTTTTTACTTTCAAGCACTAAGAATAGTCGAGCGTTGCTGTCCTACCGACAGCTCTTGTTTGTTGATATTGTATACAGAGGTCAGTTTACAAAAATGTTTGTGTGTGCATTGATATTACATTCCAGTATTTTGATATTCACTGCCTTTACAAAGGCTTTTTGTATTTTTATTGTTTTCCTATTGTTGTATAGTAAAGATATATTTTTTACACAAATAAATCTTGATGTATCAAACCTTAAAGGGACAACACTGAGGTTGTTTTGGGGATTTTTTTTTTGGCATGACGGTACTGAAAATAATTTATTTTGAGATTTATGTTAAATTTGATGTAGGTCTAGACCAATTACTTGTGTGCACATTTTCAGATAATTTGCTTTCTCCCTTTTCCCAGAATTATTCTAAATGTGAAAAGTGGCCAAAATTTGAAAAGCATTACTACTTTTTTTCATTCAGATCAGGCTAGAAATAGCACACACACAAAACATTAAGATAGGACTTTCAGTCGTTTCTGAGTATATATCTTTATGATTTTTTTTTTTTTTTTGCACATCAATCTATTTTAAAGGCCCATTTTGCCTCGGTGATGCGTTCATTTTTTATTACCCAGGATCGAACCCGGGACTTTAGCAGTGACAGTCAGTGGTCTAACCAAATGAGCTTATAAAAGTGCCACCTATATTTGATATTCCTTAAATTTTGAATGGACTGTTCCGAATTCAAAGATGGCCAGGCTAGTCCATTACAAAAATTAAGCATGCTAAAAGGATGGAATACTTTTCCAACATGAAGTGCCGTCCTTTCTGTGAACCGTGTAAAGGTTAAAAGATAAAAATCCTATTCTGTGTACCAGGCTACATTGCAACTTGGATCAATATCTGTGTTTACAAAGTTAGCATAAAAATGATTATATTACTTCGGGTATGTTTTAGCATAAAAATGATTTCTTCGGATATATTTTATAATTGAATTGAGACAAACCACACTGATGTGTAACCATGTCTAATTAAAAATTTCTAGGCAGTGGACCTAATATCATGACTGGGAATTTCTTGAGATGTTTATAATGTATATGTATTTCTGCAAAGGTTGATTTATATCTTGAAATATATACCTACCTCTACATACCTGTAATTTTCCTTAATGGTTGTGATTTTAATAATTGTCATAAGGACAGACCTGTGGAAAAAAAAACATCAGAGTTTATTTTTTGTTATGACAATTATCAGCAACTGACACAATGTTGCAGGATACAAAATAGCTATTGATTATTAATTTTACATAAATGTTTTATGCTAGAGTTTTTGAAACTCCCTGGCTACTGCAACTGGTGAAATATTTATTTTCATACCACTCGATGAAAATTAATCCTGTATTTAAAGAAGAAACTTGAATATCTTCTATGTATTTCATTGACAGTTTTGTTTGTTTGTTTGTTTGATTGTGTTTTACGTAACACCAACACAGTATTTGTCACATAGCGACGTTAACAGCTTTTCTGCTCGAGGAAGACCTGAGGTGCCCTTCATTGACAATTTTAATAAAACTGTATTCCTCACTTAGCAGGATAAGGGTTAACTATGGTTGTTGACTTCAAACCATTGCCCCTCACCACTGTCAATTCGAGTCATGCAAGTGACTGGATTCTTTCATGTGAGGAAACTATCCAGCTAGCTTGCAGAATGTATGGGCTATTTGTCTGAAATAATGCATGGAGGGGCACCTGATGTCTTCTTCCACTCGTAAAGCTTTGAATTCTCCTTATTACCTTAACCGTGCTGATGGGACGCACAAGAAACAAACAAAAATAAAAACAATGTTTTAAAATGGAGTGCTGCCATCTCAGTGAAACATTTATCTACTGGAATAGGGACTAAATGAAATTGCCACCAATTTAAAGGCCAGGCCAGCATGTACACCCGTGCAGTCTAACCAGGCTCTATACTGTTTATGTCTTACTTTAAATTTTTATCAATGAATTTTTCAAAGTACAATGTAATCATACATTGAAGGTTTTGTTTTTAGCTGGGTAACAGTATTTAAATGTAGACTACAAATATTATGAACTGAGTTTAGATACATTTATTTTCTTTATATGATCTTTTGTTTTATCTTATACATTTTATAATAAATTATTTGTAAAAGTTCGCAAGTTTTTTATGTACTCTTGTTTAATCCCCATTCACTTGTAATGACTTCTGTACAGAGCTGGGTGAGACATTATTGGAAAACGCTTGGTCAAAGCAAAACCTCTACATGCATTGGGGGATTTCAATATAACTTGGCACAAATGTTCATCATTTAAAGGCGGAGTGTGACATTTAGGTCCATTTGGCCAGGGTCAAGTTAAAAAAAATATGAAAATATGTATTTGGACCATTTAGTCATCATTTATTGAGGGATTAAAACACAAATAATCTTTATCGTGTCTTCGGGTATGAAACATGTAATTAAGGTTAATATATATGCAAGTTCAAGGTCACTAAAGATGATAAAATGAAGAGATTTTGTCCAGAGCATATCTCCTACACTTATGGAGGGATTGTAATGGATCTTCATAGAAAGGGTCACCATTATGAGATGTGCCACGTGCATCAACCGGATCTCTAAGTGAAAGGTCAAGGTCACACTTCGAGGTTATTTGAAAATGCTTGTAAGGAGCAAACTATCTACATTCATCGGTGGACTTTAATGTAACTTGGCACAAATGTTCACCATTGTAAGACTAAATATCGCGCGCATAATCTGCTACCAATGTCAAGGTCGCAAAGCGAGGTCAAAGTTAAGATAAAACAGAAGATGTGTACACGTACAATTTAGTCATCATTTATTGATTTGATTGTAACAGAAATCAAACTATCAAGGGTACAAGTGTGACACATGTAATTTTGAGTTAATATTTGCAATATCAAGGCCACTAGAGATGAAAAAAAATATCCAGATATTGTCCGGATATAACCCAGAGCATATCTCCTTTATGCATATCTATAATGCCCACATCTTGTCAAAAGCTGTTGTGACGGGCGTATTTTGCGACAATATTGCCCTTGTTTAAAAGCTCTATTTCTAGTCCCGTCATGTCAAAAAAAAACCAGTCCATTTAATAATCGACAGTGTTTTAATTCAAAGAAAGGTTAATAATCACAAATCAAGTATCTTAATACACGTCATTTAAAGCATATCTGGAGATTTCGAATTTTGATCTGAGCAAAATTGTTGAAATTGTGTTCTGGGCAAATGCACTTTTATTATGATTGTCTAAAAAAACGGAGATTTGCCAATTGGCCATGAATATCGAACAGTTTTGCACAATACTGGATGGCATTTGTAACAAGTAAATGCCCAGTTTACCTTCAACAGCTTGAACCGGAATTGTTTAGCCGTTTCCTCTACGACAGAGCCAAACCAGTCTGCCCAACGTGCAGTTTGACCATGCTCTATACTGTTTTGAGCTCTATTCTATGAATTGGCATACTGAAATTAAAAGCTGGTCAAATCAGTTAAACAAATTTTAGAAAATAGCATCTTAGGGGGGAAATAAGCAATACTCTTTTCTACATTTTTTCCAAAGACTTGGATAGTTCATTGATAGACTAAACAATATCTTCTGATACGCACAGTGATTGGGTGTTATGTAGCATATTTACTTACACTGGCCTTTCCTCATGTTTGCTTAAAATAAATAAAGAGGCTGACAAAGCTAAAACATAAACAAATGGATGTATTTTTAGTTAATATTTAAAAGCATTTGTAACGCTTTTCCTTAATTTGATAAATATCTTTCTAAGATTAATTTATTGATTTCTTAGATAAATCTATCAATTTCATAGATTAATTTATCAATTTCTTAGATTAATTAATTGATTTTTTTCTGACCCTCTGGTCCCTTCTTTGTCGAGGCGAGTGTGTGTGTGTGGGGGGGGGTAACCTTTTTTGGGGAAATAAACGTTGATCACGAATAATATAGTGTGGGTCAATGACTTTTTCATAGTTATAGACAACAAAATAAGAGCAATCGTGTTTAAAATGATTGATATTCGAGGCCATCTAATAAGAAATCACAGTGATAATATCATCAATTAAATTGTCTTTATCAAAAATAAGATGAGTAGTAGTTGGCAAGACACATTATCTCTTCGAATAAGTTTTTCTTTCTTTTCTTTTTTCATATTCAATTCCCTAATCGCACGGAGTGGGAGTTGTTTTTTATTGCATGAACTCATTTGATAGGGAAAAAAATATTTATTTATTTTTTCGTTCCCATAGCTGCCAGGAAGAAACCGTTGGGAAATCAGTCCCGCGTACGCTGAGATTGGGCAACAAATAGCTAGAGAACGCTTCGTCAAATACCAATAGTCGTTGTTTTTCGGAATTGTTACGGAAAGAAGCGTACTATGTTTGCGCTGTTCCCCGTTTCATTCCGTCCGTCACACGATATATCAAGGGACTTAATCCCGTTTGCCTTCTTTAACCTCGGTCGTTACACTTATAAGTTACTCTTGGTAGGCCACTAAAGTTATGAGTATATGTAGCTTGACATCAAACAAATTGCAACACAAGCTTTCTTTAGTATTTTGCAACCAATATATATCCATGGACCTTGTAGTAAAACCCTAAAAAAATATACCTTCGGAAACTTGACTTATGGCAGGTACTTTACGAGTACCTGTCCAGGGATCAAAATCGTAATATAATATCGTAATATGTTTAATATGTGGCGACTGTCTTGTCTTCTATGTTATAGATTGGTAGTTTTTAAGCCAGCATGTATTTGGTGTTCATAAAAATAGAATTTGCAATGAATAATAACAGGTTTGGCCTCTTTTTTATTATTTATTCACTTGTGACACACAAGATTATTACCCCACCCACTCATAATAATATTGCAAAACGTTCAAATTGCATTATCTTAAAAATACCTAATATTTACAATTGAAAAGAGGTTCAAATAATATTTATATCACATAAGCTTATATAAAAAAGAAACATAATCACTTAGGACATTTTGAAAGCAAAATGTAACATACGTTACATCAATTAAATTGACATTATTCTAGCATCGTTTAACTATTTTTGAAAAATTCATGAAAATAAAGAAAACAAACTTAGTTATTTTTCCTAAAATCTGTAGGAACAAACAATGCATCTGGTAATATACTCAATTTCTGAAAGTAACTCGTTATTTAGTCTTTTCCTGTGTCATTAACATATTTGTACGTTACCAAAGTCTCATCTATCCAAATATTACCCATAAATGTTATGCAAACTATAACTTTTAACATGATTTAGTAGAAATAACTATTTATCATCGCCAGTATTGTCCAACTATCTATATTGCACAACACTTAAGTTAGTGAGGAATAAATGCTAAAAATGAGCCGTCGTTATGTCTTTAGTAATGCTTCAAAATTAGAATTTTATATGTACAAAATGTCAATCTTATGTCATGTATCATTTAGGTTGCTTTAAAAAATATTTCACCTTTGAAATTGAATGCCATCACATCTTGTTTTAACCTATTTATGTTTTTCTTCCTTATTATATAAAGAGATATTTAAAAGTAATCTCCACATCTCTATGTCTTTCATAATGCTCATTAGTTTGACTACACCTAGTCACATTTAAAAAAATGTTATCCTTTCAATAACTTTCAAAGTATTGCATAGTGGTTAGAAAGCCTTCTCCTGCTGTTTTTGATGGTCTTTTCACTAGATTTGCAAGTCGTGTTGATTGTATTAGCACTTTTCATGAAAAGAACGTCTTGAAATGACTGTTACTGTTACAACAATGGTGGTAACGTATTTTATCTGCCAGGAGGCCATTTACGCCTTTGATTCTTCCTAGGACCTTACTTCACGCTTAAAGTGTCTTGTTTTTACACAAAGACTTGATTTAAACATAAAAGTCGAAGGTTTAAACTTTACTTACAACATCGCCACAAAGTTTATGTTCTTTCTGCAACTTACACAGTTATTGTCTTAAATAAATAAACGTTCAACATTTTTTTCTTGTTTCTGAACTTCTAATTATATTATGGTCTCTTGCAGTTTTCTCTTCTCGTCGTAATGATAAAACAATACTCTTTTCTATTTTCATTTCAGTTTTAACATCCAGTCATCTAAAATGGAAAAAAAAAAATGGATTACAAAAAATATTTCTGGTTTTAAAAAATATAATACTATTCATCATATAAAAATAAAGAAATAAATTTTACGCCAAAAGTGAGTCCTCTTCAGGAGAAATGCCTAAATTTGGGTGCACTATAGAGCGAAACGTATGTTTAAGGTCAAATACAGCTTTCATGATCACAGATTCAATCAAAACCATGCCTGTAATTTTCAGTAAATTTGCTGTTTTTAATGCTTTCCGAGGGATCACTTACTTTTACCAGATATTTATACATCACAACAGCAGATGTGAAGTGCTGTGTTTGGCAGCCGTAAATGTTGCCCCGTACTTTCACTTCAGTGTTGTTTTATTTTTTTCTGGTCTTTTCGGGATCATTGAATCCAGCACTTTTAAGTGTTGAGAAATTAAGTATTGCTCAATCCAGTGCTTGGGGACATGAGGGATGTTGCACCTTTTCATTATCCCATCATATACAGAAGCTCAATCAAACCGGCTCTTGCAATTTTCATGTAAATTGCTTTTTTAATGCATCTGAGGGATCAAACTTCTACCAGATATTTAAATTACATCTGTAACTGTTATTGACGAGAGAAACAGAATTAAATAAAAGGAGGCATTTTCCTGTGGTCACATGGTTGTAGGTATGACAGGGCTTTCATTTTGGCTTATCAAAAAAAGCACACGCCCGAACTATTTATCAATCGCTTCATAGAAATGAGTTATATCCGTTCGTTTAGCCAATACTTTCAATATGATTCACAGACGAAATGCTGTAGTTTTAATAAATATAGGACGGACAGCATAAGGAAAGGAAAGCAAACAGATAGACAAACCCTATTAAAGATAGGCAGATGTTAACAGTATCTCAGAATCAAGTTTTACAACTATCAAATTTTATTTTTTGGTAAAGACAAAAAACAGAGCCAGACGGACAGAAAGGCAGATAGACATGTTTTTAAACAGAAAGACACACTGTGTATATGGACAATTGGACATACCATATTAGCA